ACCCTATTCTTTCACTGCACATTCCAGCTATAGTCAAGGTATTCAGGATGGTTGGTTGGTCTGTCTTTCCCCCACTCACTTGCTAAAATAGTTACCACACTCCTTGCAAAAATATTGTGTCTTGATAATTTTTCCCCCTTCAATCTTTTATGTTTAGGCCCTGAATGAAGCTCTTCGTCAGCTGAGATCCGAACTACTGGACGCTACCCAAAAGGCAATCCTAAGCCACACCCACCAAGGGGTCACGGAGGTCGATGTGCAGAAAATGGTCCGAGGAAAAACGTCGCAACTTGAGGTGTATATACACACAATACCCAATGTATCATCATAATAATATGTATGTAGCACCATGTGTGGGTACTAAAGGACATACTTTGGTGTAGTTGAAAAGTGGTATATACTGAACACCTCCAGTTTGGTCGCTAGAAAAAAATAAAAGGTCAGGAGAAAAGACCAAAGATTTTTTTGCTTTTTACAGATGTACCTGTGGCACAATAAAAAGAAGTTTGTAACCTCTCGCTGTGATCTTATTCTTGTAGGATCGTGTTCAGGAACTGAGTCTGGAGGTGAATGGACTGCGGGCGGAGCTGGAACGGACTCGGGACCGGGAGAGCGAGGCTCGGAGAACGGCCGAGGAGGCGAGAGAGAGGCTCGACCAGATGGAGACGGAGGGAGAGAGGCAAGAGAGGGAAGAGGAGAGGTGGAGGAGGGAGAGGGAGGAAGGGAGGGAGAAGGAGGAAGGGAGGGAGAAGGTAGTAAAGAGGCTGGAGGTAGAACTGCATCAGTGTAGGAAGAGTCTAGAACAGGGGAGATCCAGGGAACAGAGAATGGCTAAAGAACTGCAAACTGTGAGTTTCGTTTAGTTTGAGACGTGTGTTCACTGTTGTATACTGCGTGCATAAACTATGACATAGACCATGAACAACGATGTAATAGTGATGTAATGCCTCATTATCTTGTTTGTTGTTGGGGAAACTGGACAGCTTCAGCAGAAATCAGACCACAAGCCAGAGGTTGAAGAAATGGAGAGAAGACTAAACGTTCTTCAGAGCCGCTTCGACCGGCAGAAACAGCACCTGGAGACACTGCGGCACCAACAGAAGGTCAGTGAGTCGGGGGTTAATTATAGAACAGAAAGTCAGTGAGTCGGGGGTTAATTATAGAGTACAATCTGCTAGTAGTCAGATTTAATCCTAAACAGTCACAAAAGGGTTTAATAATCCGAAACAGTAACAAAGGGTAAATACTGCACAGTCACAGAAGGGTTAATTAATCGTACACAGTCACAGAGGGGTTAATTCCGTCCTCAATGCATAGGTAGTCCATGTGGCAGTAACTCCAGGCAGGAGACACCCGTCATCTGGTCCAGGTGAGACAGTTCCTCTAGTTAGCATCAGACAAACATCGTCGTCATCATCATCCGAGTCTTTCTTGAAATGGGAGGAGACAAAACGATGGCAGAGAAAGTTGGAGACCCTCCGTACGAAACTGGCCGATAAAACAAAGGAGGCGGAGTCAGCAAAGGGTCATGTGACCTCGTTAAAGGAGACTCTGGAAAGAAGTGACCGCGAGAAACGATTTCTTCAGGACAAGATTAAAACTCTGCAAAAAACTGTCTCCAACTTGGAAAAGGCACAGAGAGACGCGATCAAAAACAGCTCTGGTGATGGTTCCCACGGCGACGGAGTAAACTGTTACCATGGAGATGTAATTGGAGGCCACACCCCCTCGTCGGAGGAGCTGCAGCGTGTCGTATCGGCCATGAGAAAGGTCATCGAGCGACTTCAAAAAGATAACGAGAAACTCAAAAGGGAGGCTCTAATTAGAACTAGAGAGCCAGCCAAGAAACCTCTGCAGCATCAAGGAAAGGGAGAAGGAGAGAGAAGAGAGGGGAAAGGGAAGGTTTCTAGCGAGCGCCAGGCAACCGGTGTCCCCCCAGCCCCCGTTGCCAAGCTGGCATCGGAGAACGAACGGCTTCAGAAGAGCCTGCGAAGAGAGATGGACAGAAACCAGCAGCTGCAGGTCTCTCTGAGGACAGCACAACTGGAGAAAGACAGACTCCAGAATGAGGTAACATTTACTTTTTTAGGTACAACTTTTGCTGTTCCATCTTCCAACTATATTCAAAGTATTGGGGACGGTCGGTTTGTCATTTCATTCACTCACGTGCCTGCAAAACCGTTCAAACCTTAAGGGGCCTTTTTGAGGGTGTAAGGGAGAAAGTTACGTTACGTGTTCTAGTTGAGAAACATTGTAAATTTCAATAGAGGCGATATAGTGTTGCCATTCGAACCTCAGACTGTAGTCAAAGTACTAAGATTGGTCGGTTGGTCATTTTGTTTACTCACATGCCTGCAAAAAATGCAAAACCGTTCAAACTTTAAATAAGGGAGAAAGTTCCCGCTATTATACAGTTGAGTAATAATAATAATACTCAGGTGGCTGCCATAGCACTAGGGCCATAGACCACGCACCCAGAGCAATGGGCGGAACCGTTAACACACGAACATACACCATATGAACATGAGGTACCTGTCTCACCTCCCAGACCCAGTATACAGTTGAGTAATATTGTAAATTTCAATAGAGATGAGGAGAGCGAGATTAGATTTTTAGGGGCAGTAACTTTCATCCACAGAAGTAAATTAATATCACGATACAAGGCTAACAATTTTCTAGCTTAGTTTCAGTAACTTTCAGCCACACAACTAAATAAGTATAAACCAGACTATTATGATTATAAACAATTTCTGACTTAGTGTGAGCATTTTTCCTCCGGCTTTTAATGGGGCTTTTCAGCAGATGAGAGAACAAAAAGAAGCGGCTTTGCCTTCCACATTGGAACGGTCTCGCAGCCGAGGAAACGAGGAAGAAATGGAGGGGCTGAGGGCCGAAGTTGAGAAGAAGACGAGGATGTTGCTGGAGGTGAAGACCCACCTGAGACAGCTGGCAGAGAGAGAGAAGGAGAGGGAGGGGGAGGAGGGGAGGGTGGCCAAAGAGCGAGATGATCTCAGAGAACAAGTCAAGATGGTGGGCTCCTTTTAGAGTCGTTCTCCCATTGTAGCCTAGTCTTTTGAAGGAAATGTTAATTCTTACGCATGCTGGATACCTGGGGTCTCAATGAATTTTAATAACCATCTTGTTTTATAAACGCTTGTATCATTTGAATCCTCGAAACCTTCTCTGATCTCTCTCTCTCTCTCTCTCTCTTCTCTCTCTTCTCTCTCTCTCTCATCTCTTCCTGAAGCTAAAAACTGAACTGGAATCGTTCGACCCTTCGTTCTTCGAAGAAGTGGAAGATTTGAAATTCAATTATCAAGAAGCAGTCAAGAAAAACGTTCAGTACGAACAACAAATCATCAGTCTCTCCCAACAACTTGGGGCTTTCCCTCCCTCTTTTAGTGCATGATGTCATCATCATTAATACTCTGGACTGGAGCTTGCTGATAGAGAAGCGGTATGCACACCAATTAGGCTTTCATTAACCCTCGGCGCGCATGCGCAGCGAGGGTTACGGTAGTTGGGTTTGTCTGTCTGTCTGTTACTCGTCATCTCACTTCTCGAGTGTTCGTTTGTCTCACAAAGGATACCACCTACTGAACGGGCAATGAAGGTCAGAAATTTCGAACGGTTTTTGCTGAAAACGCTCCGTTGCAAAGCTAGAGCGGGAAAAAGCCAAAATGCAGATACACATCATTGGGGAGAGAGGAAGCAAATGTAGCGACCCTCACTATTTCTCCAAGTGGAGACTCAAAGCAAAAGAAATAGTGAGGGTCGCTACATTTGCTTCCTCTCTCCCCAATGAATCGAATCTCCACGGAGCTAGTGACCAGACAAGTAAACGCGGTAATTTTCTAAATAACGCGCAGCACGTATCAAGTCCACTCCTGACTACTCAGAGCAGCTGAAGATTCCCTGGCAGTACGCCGGCTACGGAGGACCTCAGCATCGTGTTTACCAACCACCGCCTCTACCGCTCGGAGCCGCACGGCGCGGCGAGGGAGAAGAAAAACCCGGAGCCCCACCTAAACCGTCTCCTCGCTCTCCCTGCGCGGCTCACGCTACTAGCGGGAAGCGACCCAGACCTCCTACCAATGCGACGGACAGTAGGTCAAAGGAAGAGTCGTCACAGAGAAAGACGGGTAGCCAAGGACTATCTAATACGCCTCACGCCCCGAGGTCGGTTCTGGAACTCCTGCCTGGCGGAGTAGGAGGGTCGTCCTCCAGTCTCCTGCTGCCGTCTACACATCAACTGCACCAGAAACACAACCAAGAAAACATAATGTACAGAACGGTAACCGATAGCAGCTTATTCAAGAACATAATATAGCAATAACCTAACCCCCCCCTCTCTCATTACAGGGAAGCTAAAGACAGTACCACTGAAGGAGAGTAATGTGGAGAGGAAGAGAGAGGGAGAGAAAGGAGGAGGGAGAGGGAAAGAAACAAAGGAAGGAGATAAAGAAACCGGTACCCACCAAGAAACAGGCCTGGCAGGAAGAGAACAAGGGATAAACAGGTTTGCTCTTATCAAGAATAAAGAGCAATTTTCTCTGCATCTCAATTTTCAGTGACACTGTGCTGATGTTGTGTAAATGTATTTAGTGTCAGTTTTGTTAGTTTTTTCTCTCTCTCAAAAGGTCAAGTGAGTACAGCCGCTCCACTGAGAATGAAACCCTCTCTCATACAACACCTGGACACTTGGAGGTGACCGAGGAGTTTCAAATAATGCCCACTTTGCCTTTCTAAATAATGGCCACCATTCTAGATAGTGCCCACTTTTACCCTATAGTTAGCCAGTAAGTTTATGACATTTATTCTCCTTGCAGACCCATCATTGTAGTCCAGGTCCCAAACCCATTCCACCCTCTGTGGCAGTCACTCTCGCAAAACTGAAACATTGTCCTCTTGAGGTAAGAGAGTGTGTGTGAGGAGAGAGGGGGGAGGAGGGAGTAAGGAGGGTTGTCTTTGGCTCCAGAATGAAGTAGAGTCTCCTCTGACAAAGGCGGTTCGTGTGACAGCTGCTCTGGTCCTCAGAAACCTGTGTCGAATGGCTCCCTCCACTCACTGGTATACAACACCTCCCACCTGTTTTGTTTCTTCCTCTTTTAGTACATTTTATCCCAACACCCACATGTTCTATAATACATGTATAATCCCTCTCTTACTTCATTACCCTCTCTTCCCTCTCTCCCAACAGTCAGATAAGGAGACATGAACACAGACTCAGTGAAGTGGCTCTGTCTGACAGAGAAGCTGCTCACACCATTACAGAGTGTCTCACCTATTTAAACCTCCCTCCTCCTCCTCCACCCTCTCTCACTGCTAACCCTCATGATAACACTGTCACACATCATCAGTTGACTGAAAACTCATACAGCTCTCCCTAATGATTGCATTATTACATTTCATCAGTCTTTCAACCTCAGAGAAAGCAATTTTTACTGTATAAGGGGTATGTTCCCTTGGAGCTGGTGGAAGGAGTTTGGAAGATCTGTAGTTGTTTCAGTCTATCTGCTAATCTTCCTAGTTATGCAAGCTGGTATGGAGGGAAGTTTTATCAGCATGGGAAGATTGTATAGTGCAACCTAATGTGGGGGAATTCTTACCTTTTAGAGTCCTTCTGTTATTGTAACTCTTTAGCCAGGGTCACCTTGTACTACATTGTTAGCTTGGCTGTAGTGGTGCATGCATGCATTGCAGAGAGCCTACATTTCTTCTGAGATGGACAGGTCTTTTCTGCTGGTCTTGTGTCTAGTGACACTGTCTAATGTCGAGCTGGGACAGTCTCAATCTGATCGTAAGTACAATATAATACTTGAAATCATAAATCACTGTGTGTGTGGGCTACAGTTGCTGGGATTGCAGCAGCTGTGTTCGAAACTCTGAGTCCCATCTTGAATGAGTTGAAGGAAGACATTAGCTGTGTGAAGAGTGAAATAGCCAATCTCAGTGAGACAGTCAGTCATCTAGTTGAGGAACTGGAATACCACAAGAATGAAACTGCATCTGAATTAGCTGATCTGGGATCCTCTCTCCAGTTCATCATTGATAATCCACCAATTGAGGCAGTGCGTAATGCCGTATTGAGGGCTCTACTGCCATATGTGAACAACATGGAGGATAATATCAAGACAGAGCTGGGGCAGTTGGTTAGGGAGAGATCTTCTGCTATCAATGAGACGGTAGTTATGATGGACAGCTCCATGAGAGATGATCTCAACTGTGTCAAGACTGAGTTAAGCCGTGTCAATGGAATCATCAGTGATCTAGGTGGACACCTACAGACACACAGCCAGCAGACTACATCTGCAGTGGCTCAACTTGACACTAGACTAAGTGCTCTGAATGAATCAATGAGAGATGATCTCAACTGTGTCAAGACTGAGTTAAGCCGTGTCAATGGAATCATCAGTGATCTAGGTGGACACCTACAGACACACAGCCAGCAGACTACATCTGCAGTGACTCAACTTGACACTAGACTGAGTTCTCTGAATGAATCAATGAGAGATGATTTAAATGATGTCAAGACTGAGTTAAATGGTGTCAGTAACACAACCACTGCAATGTGTGACAAAATTGCAAAACATGAGACTGCAATCAAATCTGATTTAAAGGACATGAAGGAGAATCTAACACAACAAATTAGTGGTTACACATATATTATTGTGGAGGAACAGGAGGTTGGAGACGTGCAGTCTACCTGGATATGACAGACCCCAACACCAACTGTCCCTCTGGCTGGCAGCTCACTGGATACTCCAAGAGAACTTGTGGCAGAGTTAGTACTGGATCGAGGACTTGTGACTCAGTCTTCTTCCCTGTCAGTGGAGGACCATACAGTCAGGTGTGTGGCAGGATCAGAGCCTACCAGTGGGGACTGCTTGATGCCTTCTATGGGTATAACAGAGGTGGACTAAGTAGTACTGACAGTCCCTATGTCAGTGGTGTGGCTGTAATGCATGGCAGTCCTCGACAACACATCTGGACATTTGCTAATGGGGCATGGGAGAACCCGCCAAACTTTCATTACAGCCTGTGTCCATGTGACATTAGTGCTGATATATCCATCCCACCATTTGTTGGAGAAGATTACTTCTGTGAGTCTGGGTATGTGTATCCTGGGTACCGAAATATACAGCATGGTACAGACTCCACTCCAATGACACTCTCTGGGATGGTGAAGACTGTCACTCCACCAGTACATGTTGCTCTTTCCACAATCCTCCATATTTCACCAAAACCCTCAACCAGACAACTAGCGATGACCTTGAGCTGAGAATGTGTTTATATAGTATCATACAATATGAAAACATAGCAGTGGAACTGGTTGAGTTGTATGTCAAGTAGCTGCGTACTGTCCTTCGCTCTATATATTTGTTAGTACTGATTGTAGAAAAAGGCTCAAGTTGGGCTCAATATTATACACACATGTTTTTACAATACACATACATTCTACAATGACGATTTGATTCATGTCCACATCATCATTTTAAATTTATCACGGCATGAACAAACGCGCTGTAGTTACTGTACCTACTGCGCATGCGCTCAGGTGTGGTTGCTGCCACTGTGAAAAAATACATAGGTTTGTAAGACTGCCACACACAATATATATACACATAGACACACTGACATCTCGATACAACTGATGAAGTATAATACATATAATTATACACGAAACTAGACGTATGTGGAGAGTTCGGGGTCTGGACTAGAGTCGTGAGCTGAGAAGTCAACGTGGATACTGAGTGTCTCGGTTCCATTCTGCTGTAGGATGTCTGCAGTCCGTTCCTTGGCGTTCTGAGTCAGTTCTGCGATTTTCTGGAGTCTTACTGGTTGTGGTAGGCGGAGTCTCGCCTTCACCATCTCCCCCAACATACCCTGGAGAGAGACAATGATTCCAAGCCTATTCCAGCATGCAGCAATAATAGAAGAAATTTGGCATTTGTATAAGTAGCCAAACGAAGCAAGTTTACGTTAGCTACATGTATGTTTATACCTGGACTTCCAAGATGGTGTCATCTTCATTGTAGTGCTGACGGTACAGTGCCTGAAGATGTAATCTGATACCATCCTCCTTCAGACGAAGAATGGCTCCTGGGGACATTACGTCATTATGACATCATCACACAATGATGGCATCACTTACGAGAGTTTATCTTGAGGAGTACTAGAGAGAGTGCCATTAGCGTGCCCTCTCCTCTGAACAACATGAGGTCCCAGATACGGAGAACCAGCTGGAATGGTAGCTATAGCAACACAAACACATTACATCATAATGACATTATGCACCCAGTAAATGAAAGCAAGTGCATTGTCGACAAGCTGCCAATGTGGAAAAATTCATGATTGGAACGACGACATCATTGTGATGTAATGGTTTAACTCACAGCGTCGAGGAAGAGTTTGACGAACCAGGCAGTGGTGTAGTCCGGAGCGGCAACGTATTGCGAGTCCTAAATCAACAGTGGAACACAAATAGTGTGTCGTTGGCATACGTGTATTGCATGACTGCACTTTCAGCCTAACACATGTACTGTACTACAATACACTTCCTACATTCACTGTCACTTCCCACGGCACACTTTCCTACACAGTAGCTGTTTATATTGTCACAAGGTATCTGAAACCTATTATACATGTATACAGCTTCTCGTATGTAGCCTTTTCTTTTATTCTCTCTTCCCCCCCTCTCTCTCTCTCCTTCTTCACCTCCCTCCCTCCCTACCATGTGTCGATGCAGTTTCGGCATGAGCCTTTTCTTTTATTCTCTCTTCCCCCTCTCTCTCTCTCTCCTTCTTCACCTCCCTCCCTCCCTACCATGTGTCGATGCAGTTTCGGCATGAATCTCTTCCTCAGAGTTGAGTGAAAGTCACAGAGAGCCAGCAGCTTGGGCAGGCCAGGAATCAACATTCCGTGCATCGCAAACTTTGGGTCTCCAATGAACACGACAAGAGCCCAAAATGCATCCTTACAGAAAACAAAGATAGAAACGAAAAGTTCTGTTAACAAGTTGAACAAAAAGTCCAATTCTTCAAAGAAGATTAAAAGTCTAGAATTTTGCTATATATGTAGTGGGCATGTACTGGCATGAGATTGTAATTCCCAAGAAATAGTAAAGCACCAAGTTTAGTGTTTCTTCCAGGGGAAGTGATTTCATCTTGATTAAAGGATCCTAACAATGCTGTGTTATGATATCGATCGATCGTTGCATATATACCTCCTCATTTAGGTACATCAGTAGAACAGCTGCTATGCTGCTCATTCCCTGGCAGTAGCCCAGCTCCTGGTGGGAAAAGGGTTACTTCAACCATAGACACAAATGGGGTTAACGGTGAAATACAAACAATAGTGTCATCGGCAGAGGGTTGGGAAGAAGGAGAAGGGGGGAGGTATGGAGGAAGGTAAGTAAGGAGGGGGGTATGGAGGAAGTAGGGAGAGGGAGGTATGGAGGAAGGTAAGTAAAGAGGGAGGTATGGAGGAAGGTAAGTAAAGAGGGAGGTATGGAGGAAGGTAAAGTAAAGAGGGAGGTATGGAGGAAGGAAGTAAAGAGGGAGGTATGGAGGAAGGTAAAGTAAAGAGGGAGGTATGGAGGAAGTAGGGATAGGGAGGTATGGAGGAAGTAGGGAGAGGGAGGTATGGAGGAAGGAAAGTAAAGAGGGAGGTATGGAGGAAGGTAAGTAAAGAGGGAGGTATGGAGGAAGGTAAAGTAAAGAGGGAGGTATGGAGGAAATTAAGTAAAGAGGGAGGTATGGAGGAAGTAGGGAGAGGGAGGTATGGAGGAAGGAAAGTAAAGAGGGAGGTATGGAGGAAGTAGGGAGAGGGAGGTATGGAGGAAGGTAAGTAAAGAGGGAGGTATGGAGGAAGTAGGGAGAGGGAGGTATGGAGGAAGGTAAGTAAAGAGGGAGGTATGGAGGAAATTAAGTAAAGAGGGAGGTATGGAGGAAAGTAAGTAAAGAGGGAGGTATGGAGGAAGGTAAGTAAAGAGGGAGGTATGGAGGAAGGTAAGTAAAGAGGGAGGTATGGAGGAAGGAAAGTAAAGAGGGAGAGGGAGAAAAGGGAGATGTGGAGGAGAGGAAGGAGGAAAATGGGAGAGAAGAAAAACGTTAGGGGAAGAAAAGAGGTATATACTAACTGTGTTGTACATGGAGTAAGCAACGAGAACATGGAACAGAGCCTGTTGTCTGCAGAGTTAAAATTGAAAGTAAACAGACGATTTATACTCATTGACAAGTTGTAGAAAAACAGCAGCGTGAGACAATACACACATGTAAGGGAAAAGAGGGGGGGGGACGGAGAAAGCTCACTTTATTCCGTAGCGATCCTTGTACATGATGTTATCTCTGAAGGTTCTGAGGACGTCGATGTCAATCTGTTTTATATCTGGAGACGTTCGTCTTCCCAGTTCCTTCATCCTCTGGAGAGAGAATGTGGGACAAACAATGCAACGAAGTCACCACTCCCTTACATAGTGTCAACTATCTCCATACTCCCATTCTCCTGTACTTCCATTCTCCCAATCCCTCATTCCCCGTACTTCAATTCCCTCTTTCCCCATACTTCCATTCTCCCAATACCTCATTTCCCATTCTTCCAACTCCTCATTCCCAATTTCCCCAACCCTTTCCCATTCTCCATACTCCCATTCCGTATTCTCCCAATCCCCCATTCCCCATACCCCAATTCCCCCTCACCAGGTAGACTCCCTCTTCCTTCACGTTCTCGATACCCATGACGTGTCTCCATACCGTACCCCTCACGGAATTGGGGATCCCTTTGTTTACTCTGCGATAGAGTTTGTCAGAATCGGAATACTTCTTCCACTGCGTCGTCATCTTGGCCCATTTCACTGCTCTCTCTCTCTCTATCTGCATAACCTGGGTGGAGGGAAAGGTATATGTGGGAGGGTAAAACTGATATTAGGAGAAATTATAGCTAATGAGGGAGGGAGGGAGGGAGAGAAAGAAATGTAAACGAGAGAGGTTTCAACCCAATAAGTCATGTAATATTTATGGCATCCAATTTTGTGAGAAAGGTTTAGTGGTTTAGATGAGAGGTGGCAATCAGACATGCAACATGATCAGTCAGTTATACAGAATTTCTTACTTTCTCGGGAACCTGTACTTCTGGTAGTGGTGTTGTGCTGCATTGGAGGGAGAATGTAAAGGGTTAACAGGAGTATTTAAAGGGTTTTAATGGGAGAAAATTGGGTAGATTCAAGGTGTTGTATAAATAAGTTGGAACTGTGGAACGAATGCAACACATTATTGGCAAGTGATCAATGCGCCGTCTACATACAAAAGAAACTAAGGTAAATGTGGGGAATAAAGGGGTTAAAATGGGGAGAATAAAGGGGTTAAACTCACTGCATAAAGCCATATCTGTCGGTAGATTTGTAGACGGAGAGATCAGGATCCTCCCAGTTCTCTATCACCGCCCCCTCCTCGCGACCCTATTGGTCGGTGCCATGGCAACAGTCACATGACACACACCACACCCACTACAATACATGTGTAGCAATCTGATTGGTCGCACTCACCAGGTCATACTTGGCTACTATGGTAACCCTCTCATCATCTGTCGTATGATTAGACATTCCGAGTGGAATGGAACCGGGACTTCACTGGAATGGAATCAGTTCCTTCCCTCTGGCCTTATCTGTGAATCAGAGAATTCTATAATGGGGAGTTGTCCAGGAAACAAACAGAAGCCGTAACCTGTTTGCACCAGGTTAAATTGTATGCATACCTCCATGCATTGCACAGCATCACCTACAGGCTTCAAACAAACGTTTTTTAAGCGTTGACGTGAAATTCCAAATCAGGACACCTACCTCTCCTCAGCTAGTCAGGACACCTCTCTAATCAGGACACCTACCTCTCCTCAGCTAGTCAGGACACCTCTCTAATCAGGACACCTACCTCTCCTCAGCTAGTCAGGACACCTCTCTAATCAGGACACTTTCAGCTAGTCAGGACACCTCTCTAATCAGGACACTTTCAGCTAGTCAGGACACCTCTCTAATCAGGACACTTTCAGCTAGTCAGGACACCTCTCTAATCAGGACACTTCCTCAGCTAGTCAGGACACCTCTCTAATCAGGACACTTTCAGCTAGTCAGGACACCTCTCTAATCAGGACACTTCCTCAGCTAGTCAGGACACCTCTCTAATCAGGACACTTCCTAAGCTACATCTCTAATCAGGACACTTCCTCAGCTAGTCAGGACACCTCTCTAATCAGGACACTTCCTAAGCTACATCTCTAATCAGGACACACTATTCCTTTCTTCAGAGGACACCTTTCCTTGTCCTACCAAGGTGTCACGCTAGACACAGTACCCATATATGGCAAACGAAAACACAGTAACTGTTGACACGTAACTCATATCACCACACCATTTCCCAAATCATAACACGTACTCACGATTTTGTCAACACTGCTGTCAATAAACATATCTGGAGTACACGATCCTAAAAAGACGCTAAGACACAAAAACATATCTGTGGAGACTAAGCTACTGAGGCAGCTTAACTGGCTGGGCTGATATCTATGTGTGTGATGGCGGATGCCGTG